GCTTCAGAGCAGCTTTCACTTCACTGTCTAGTACTGCTGGTTCTTCATCAAAGAATTCTTCTTCAAAAGAACCTGTCATCCTTCTATCACTTTTGCACAGTTCTTCAGCATACTGTTTCCACCTTCTCTTAATTTTATTCTGTCCAAATTATATGTTTGCCTGTTGGTCTTTCAGCATCCCTAATCTAAATTTAAAATGCCCTTTAACTTATTGGAATTTGTGGAAGAAATCTCTTGTTTTTCCTATTTTCTTGTTCTCTTCCATTTAATTTTCCTGGTTTCAGTCCACAGTTATTCTTCTTTATGATCAATTGAATTTAGTAATACAAAACTATTATTTATATGGACCTAAAATTCACCAGAAGTATTATTTAAACTATATTTTGACACTATGACTCTTTTAGTGTTTTCCAATTCATCTTTACTGTAATTTTGGATAGTAACAATTCATGGTAAGTACTACAATTTGCTTCTGGTCCTATTTCAGAAAAGAGAATAAAGCTTCTCCATTAACTACTGCACTTCCATATAATCTATTTTATTTCTGTATTTGCCAGATACCCACAAGTACAGTCTGTTTGGTTTCTTGAAGTATGTAATTGCAATAAAAAATTTCTGGTTTCACAAAATGTTATTAATTGTTCTCCTGCCTCATTTCTGATTCCTAAACCGAATTCTCCAATAACAATTGGTTCCACTTTATTTCTTCTGTGCTCCCACCTATGGTTATCAGCACATCATGTTTTTGTGTGTGAATAATTTCCTCCTGGATATTTGCATAAAAGCTTTTGATTTCCTTTTCTTCAGCAACTGTTGTTGGGGAGTTGACTTCAATTGTGGTTATTTTGATTGGTTTTCCAATAGGTTCTAATAGTAGATTGAATACTAGCAGTCAGATTTTGTATTGTAACCTGAACCACTTGTGCTACATCTTGCCTCACTCAATTTTTTTTCCTGATTTTATCATTTCCAGAGTAAACACTTTGTAATTGTCTGACTGAAAAAGTCCCATTCTGGTCACTTCAGTTTGTTTTGCATCAAGTACTACTGTAATGTTTAAATATTCCATTTCTTGCTTTATGGTTTCCAGTTTACCTTAATTCATACTTCTCAGATTCCATGTTTCAACTGTATGTTGTGTGCAGCATCACAATTTCTTTTCATCTCTGTGTGCACTGGCCACTAGACATATTTTCTCCTTTAAGCTAGTTGTTTCATTAGTAACAATTCTATTGAAATTTGTTCTTTGCTGTTCCCCAGTAGTTCACTGAATGCCTTCCAAACTGGAAGTCTCATCTTCAACACTATCTCTTATTTCATTTTGGATTATCTCTTCATAGAGTTTTCAAAGTAAGAAATATTCAGAAGTGGTTTATCATTGCCTTCTTCTGCAGTGTTAACAACAACAACAAAAACCTTGCGCGTCACTGCCTTTGTCTGTGAGAGATCTTCTTTCCATGACTTCTCTAGGAATTTCTCCTCCCGGATTACCATTCAAACTATCAGTTCTCTACTGCTGATTTGACTATTGATCCTATATGGAGTTGATGCATTTTAGTCTGGTGTCTCAGTTTTGACCATTCCACCATGCGTGACCCTGCCAAGAGTTCAGACTTATAATGGAATCTAACCTTCTGACATCATTGTTCTCAGGTTTCCTGTTACGCTCAAGCCCCCTCACTACATTACAGTGTGCAACCAAAAGAGGGGAACATCTAAATAGAAAAAAAAGATATCTACATGTTATTGTTACGTCCAAGAATGGTGGGGAGGGGGCAGAATCCTGATTCAGGGACTGTCCACACTGGGAAATTTGGTGTAGTCTGGTCTCTCCTGAAAAGATTCTTAAGAGGAGTCTTTTTAAACTCTCACTTGAGCAATCCTTCTACCCACACTAGAGGTCATGCTCTTCTCCCATGCTACATACCCACACACAATTTATCCACTTTATTCATGAAGGTATTTGGTTTACTCATGGGTAAGGAGGCAGCTGAGGATAGCAGCAGCATGAGTGCATAACTTTGGAGTGAAAGTTGGGGAGATGGAAGGGAGATAGCCCCTCACTTTTCCTGCCTTTCTCCTCACCTGGGGCTGTGCTGCCTTGTGGGGAGTGGAGCCAATGGACTCAACATAGCCCCCTTCCCTGCCTTTTCTGTCAGCCATTATTCAGGTGGCTCAAGTGACTTTCCTTATGTTTTAATAAATAAAAGTGGCACAGTGAAAGGGCAATACATCAACCTAGCATGTACTAGAATTTCACTGTTAGGGAAATATTTGAAAAAAGACAAAAATAGAGGCGTGGGTTTCTCCACATACCCTTAAAATGTCACAACCCACCTAATATGTCATAGGGTTGCTACTGCAGTTAATGCCATCCACAGGTACATTTTGGTGTGAGCTAACCATCTGTACAGGCTAAACATAGAGTTGTTTAGAAGAAAAATCATGCCAAAAGGAATACATGCCCTATCAATCTGCCAGAAAGGTAGACAACAGCTCTTAAAGGGGAAGGATGGATCAATCCAATTAGAAATATGTACAGACACCATTGTCCATATATCAGTCTATATGCCAATGTGGATAGGCTTTTATTCACAAAAGCCCTTATAGCCATGTGTATGATTGTGTCAGCAGCCATTATGGATACAAAAGTGCTTCTCTCAAACAAATGTGAACAACAACAATTTTAGGGAGGAAGGAAGCCATACATAAGAACATCAGGAGTCTGCATATCAGTAAACGGAAAGGAACAGAGGGGAACATCATTTGGTGCTGTATTTCTGTCTATTCTTCCCCCACTGTCAGATCACTTCTTCAGTACACTGACACTCAGCTTTCAGAGTTATTAAAAACAGATGACCAGTCTTCTGAGCAATCAGGAGATAGGCCTCCAATCCCCTGTATAGCTCCTTCTCCAAACGAGGGAAGATACGAAGCAAAATAACAAATTCCTTTAAAAACTAAAAAAAAAAAAAAAAAACAACCTAAAACCCTACATTGGCAAATAATGCCAAATTATTCCTGCCCCGCACCTGTCTGTCTCACACATCTTGAGAAGGTCACTCATCCCACTGGCACATCTAATTCTGCCCTATCCCAGTCCAGAGAGAGTGAACAGAGAGAGGAGAAGCCACTGGCTCTGATTCCCTTAACCAGGGCTCAGCACTATAGCTTTCCATGCTGAAGACCCCAATTTCCATTTCTGGCACCTTCAGCTGTAGCTAGAATAAACACTTGCCTAAAAATGTGGCAGGAGCTGCTAGCAATAGAGGGGTAGATAGAACTGTGATCTGACACAGTTTAAGACAACTTCTGAAGCTCCCTGCCACTCTCCACCAGAGATGGGTCCCTGTTAATTATGGGAAAGTATTTCTGTGCAATCTGCATTGAATGAATAGAAGATGCACAAAAGCATGATAGCATCTCTGCCAAGCCTCCATGGGAATCCTCCCCAGCACAATTTGGCCCTGAATAATTAGGATCATTTAGAATGTCTCTCCTACCCCTTATGACTCTTAATGTATCTCTGATTCTGAAAGATAAAAAGTGTAAGACATATTATATGGCTTGAACACTTTTTGAAAAGTGGTAAAACAAAAAGGGAATCTTCCTTGGTGATGGTGGTGGTGGTGAATACAGGTTAGGGTTAGGTGTTTTTTTGTATAGGTCCTTGATATTTTAGAAGCTCTATTTCAAGGAGTTGCTGCTTGGGAGAGCTCAAAACCTACGAGGGACTAACTTCCAGAATCCAGTGGCCATGCTGACTTGGGAATATTGGTAATTTTAGTTCAAAAAGTAGCTCTTTGAAGCTGTTTATTAACAGTAATTCATAATTTCTGCTATTATATTGCCTGTGAGACCTGCTGGATATCCTTAATTTTAAGCACTACAAATTTTCTCCGAGTTTCTCAAACAAACAAACAAACAAAAGTAGGATATAATATATGTTGGAACCCGCCCAGAGACCTTTGGGTAGTATGGGTGGTGTATAAGTTAAATAAAATAAATAAAATAAATAAAATAAACAAAAATAAATGAAGAAATAAATGATAAACACAAAACAGGCGATGCTAGACTTGGTAATCTCCAAACATTTCAAATTGTATTTGGATCATGGGGAGATATTTTGCAGAATTTCTGTAGAATCCACGGTACTTTCATTTATTTATGGTTTTAACAGATAGCAAAAGTAACCCCAGTCTGCTGAACACCTCTGAGCTCACATCAAAGGTCAAACTATATAAATCAATACTGATGTTGTTAAAATATGTAATTTCTTAAATATAAAAGACATATGATTGTCCTAATTTCTCCCCTTCCCCATCTTACAAATCAGCTTACTTTGTTTTATGGGTGGTAAAGACAGGTTTTTGCCAGCAAGTCTGATAGTTCAGGCACAGAGCTCTTTAGAATCACTATCAGCTTTTAATAACATACTATCTAACTGTCTGATTTGACTCCAGGATGTAATCTGAAATTTCATGGTGTTATAAAATGCTTATGAGGTTTTCCAGTGGCTTTGGACTTGAAATTTTAAGTTCTCTCAAGTGACCTTAAGGGTCAACTACCTAGTCCAGGGCTGCCCATGCTGGTGGTGACATCAGATGATGCAAGCCAATCACAGGAATCAAGTTGCAGTCTCTGCCTGTCTGTGTGCTCCATGACATCACTGAGTATTAACCTCTTGTTGCTAAACAAGGCTCCTAACACGAGCTGCAAACATACCCATACATGTATATACAGAATGCACACAGTCCTAGTTTTCTCCTTCACAAATGGGGAGGGGGGCACTATACACAAGACATGCATTTTAAATAATAAATGGAATTCCAGATTTTGCAGTCTGCCTATCTAGTTTCTGCATAAACTAAGTTTTCTTTAGCCGTAACAGGGAACCAGCAGTTATCTCTAATTTACAAAGAAAAGTATTGAGGTCAAAGAAGCAGAGTGACTTCTCTGAGGTCTCATAGGAAAATAATTATAAGACTAGAGTTGCTCACCTGGCTTTGGAGGCCTTTGCTTCAAGCAAACAGCTGCCTGTCCCTTTTCTCTGCTTGATCCCTGTATGAAACAAAGAGGATAACTTTGATCTGAGCTGCGCCAAAGGAATTATCTCAAGCACTAGCACTGACATTAACACACTCATTAGCTGGATTAAGTCTAGAGTTGCCAAACATTAATCCAGTTAATGAATGTATATTTTCTTTTTCCCTGCCACACATATTTTATTGGCATTTTTAAAGAAGCCATTGTGAATTTCTGATCTGGTGACCCTCCAAACCATGTGGATGCAGGACTAGAGCCTTAAGGTTTTAAGGCAGTGGTTCTCAACCTTGGGAAACCCAGGTGTTCTTGGACTGCAACTCCCAGAAACACCAGGTAGCACAGCTAGTGGTGGAGGCTTCTGGGATTTACAATCCAGGAACACCTGGGTTACTCAAGACTGGGAACCATTGTTTTAAGGTATTTATATACTGTTTATTTGTTACGTTAGTGCGCTGTTTTTATTCCATGGAACTCAAGGGAAATAAAGCAAAGCTTTCAGGTACAGTAATCTCTTTTCCAAGTATGGGCAAGATTTGTAGCTACTTTTGTCTCAAAGATGAAACCAACAGGCACCTCCAGACAACTGCTCTGGGCCAAATGCTACACAAGCATTTGACTTTGGAGGCTCAAGCTTTGATGCTGGGTCAGAAACTAGCCTCAGGATAACGAGTTCTCAGTTTTACTCCTTCAACCTGCAGGTTGAAGGAGTAAAACTGAGAACTCGTTATCCTGAGGCTAGTTTCTGACCCAGCATCGAAGCTCAGACCTCCAAACCATCAAAACTTGGGCCTCCAAACCATCACATAGAAAGCTTTGAGATACTGACATTGTTGGAACAAAGTAGCAACACAAATGGTCTACAGGGGTAGGGGAAATCAACAGAAAGATAACCCAGATGTCTCCCTGTCTTCTGTTTTTGAGATCTCTCTGCTAGATTATATCAGATAAAATAAAAACAAAAAAACAAAAACAAATAAAAGACAGAAGGGTTGCAGCACCTTAAAGACTAGCTGCTATATGAGTTTCTGTGGATTAAGCCCAGTTCCTCAGCCATCCTTTTTCTGTCTGATACGCTTGCACAGACTAAGATGGCTATTTTTTTCAATAGTTACAAATGTCTTAGATTATTACTCTCAGGCTCTTCCTTTCTTCCTTCTGCTTCATGAGAAGTCACTTCCTCTTGTTCTCAGAGAGCTCTAGGGGCTTCTCTAACTAACTTTAGCTATCTCATTTTTAACCTTTCTTATAAACCCTAAATGGATTTCCTTCACTTTAATAAACAGTGGCTTAAATCCAATTGTTAGTTCTCCATTTGAGTAGACCAGTTGACTAAATTGCTGAATGGTGAGTCAGCAATGGTTCTATTCTAGTCGAGATTATGAACTGGATTTAGGCCAGTGAGTATTTTGCCTTACTACAAGTATCCAGAGTGATTACTCTTTTTTCCATGGTTACAAACTCAGCACTAGACTGCTATACTCTGTAAATAAAAGTACCAGATATTCCTAACAGTCTTGTCCCCTGACAACTGGCTAAGAAAGGTAGTGTGGCATTTGTCTGCTTGTTCATCAGTATGTTACTAAAAGCTGGTAAAGTATTATATGCTTGGGAGGTAGGGAATGCTTTGAACCATTGTGCCCCACTGACAGTTCCTACATATTTTTATCTGATCCCTTTAGATATTATATGGCCGTACTTATGCCAGGACACTTTTCACATGGCAGTACAGTATACTCTGACATAATATCACCATGCATGTTCCTAGAATTTCATACTAAAGGCTTACATTTCTATTTACATGTTGAATTTCCCTGTTTGCATCCACGCACTTAAAAAATTTATGCATTTCAAGGCCCACACTTTTATGATAATATAGCAGATTTCTGATGGAAAAGCCACTGTGAGGGCTTTTACAAGTTGTTTAAGCTGGACGGCTGCACCAAAATAGTGTTAACTCACACTGGGGGGGGGGATGGAATTCAAACCGCACCAATCGCAGTGAATACTTGTACTTGTTTAATTTTTGTGGAGAATTTTATGCAAGAGGAGAAGAAGTAGAGCACGAGCACTGAGAATTCATGGCATGCTGTACAGACTACTTCAGCCCTTCTTGTGGGAACTGGAACAGCAGATTGCATGAAGTGCTGCTGCTGAAGGAGATATTATCATCAACACTGCAGCACTGCAATGCCTGGTCAGCAGAGTCTTCCTCTTCCCCCATCCTTTTGGAGTTCAGGACAGAGTTATGATTTGAGCTCAGCTGATCCACATCTAAGCTCTTAAGAAGTCTCCTTGGTCATTTCCCATACAGCACTAGCACAGCTTCCTATTTTTTTTCTCCCTTTTAACACCCTTGTACTGGCAGGCTTTGCTTGTCCTCTGTGCATATATAACAGCTGTTCAGTGAACAGGAGAATTGTTAAGTAAGAGGAAAATTTGTTGAAGGCCAGATGTTATTGACTATCTAGTGGTGGGCTGCTTTTGAAAGACAATTCTTAACATGGTAAAAGAAAATATCACCAGCTATGTAAACCACAAAAGAGAGTGTCTGTCTTCTTCAGTCTGGAGTAAGGGGAAGAACATTAGGTAGGTTCTTGTTTCCAGGAAAAGTCTAGAATATGGGAAGAACAGGAGTGATTAATGAATGAATAGACCTTCCTTGGAGTGGCTCAAGTGGGTTGGGTTAGAGAGGTACAGCATAGATTCCACTCCTATCTCCTGGTTTGCCATTGGAAAGTATTATTGGAAGACTTCAGCTTAGCTCCATGGTAGTAATACTGTAGGGTATCACAAAATCCTTTCTTCTCTGAAATTGTGGGAACTGTTTGTTCTTCAGGATTTGGAGCATGATATCATCCAAATGCAAGTGACACTCATCTCTATGTCTCTAATCCATATGAGTCACAGAGCCTGGAGTCAGTGGTAAGCTCAATGAAGACCAGCAAAATCAAATTAAATCCTAACAAGACGGAGGATGTGTGGACAATTGGTGCCCAGGTCCAGGAATTAGGCATCTAGGCAATTTTGGATGTTGTAGCATTTCTGATGATGAAGCAGTTATGGATCCTGAGAGTGTGATTGAGTGTTGTCACTGGAAGGCCCAAAGGCATCATCAGCAAGAGTGCTTATAGTCTCTGAGTTTAGCCCATCAGCTACAGCCATTCCTGGACCACGAGAATCCCACCACAATAGTGTATGCTCTGATAACATACCTATGGTACTATTGCAGTGCAGTGTATATGGAGCTTCCCTTGATGACAGTCAAGGAGCTACAGTTGGTGCAGGAGAGTTGCTGCCCAGTTGGGGACTGGAACAGCAGAAACTGAGCATATCACACCCATACTTGAACCTCTGTATTGGCTGCCAATGAGCCACCAGGTCCAGTTCACCAGATTTTTGTCAGGTTCACATCAAAGCTGGCCAAGATATTCTGCTGTCTGAAGCAAAGGACGTACTGAAACTCCTTCACCTATCCTGGGTCCAGAAACTGGCTGTAGCTGAATCTTATTTCACCATTGGCAATGGGGTAGTTTCGTTGACCATATCTGAATTCAGTGGAATAGTTTAGGGAGGCTAAACTATTCCACATGTTGTGTAGCATCCACATCTATGTTCTTCAGCAGAGGGGTCCAACTGGCAGACTGCCATTGTTCTCTCCCAACACCACAGTGCATTCTATCTAATGAACTGGCTCTTCTGAACATGTGGTTACTATGAAAAAATGTAAGTAACAGCTTGATGGACACATTGGAGCAGGTTAGACCAGGCTAAATAGCATCACAAGCTTCAATAGGGGTGTGGTGTGCAATTTGGTGTGATCCTTACATCCACATGGCATCCACACCTCAAACCTGCCTCTCTTTAAAGGGAAAGAAAAAGAAACAAACAAACAAACAATTTTAAAAAAACCAACATTCTAAATAGTATAAGACATCAGGGTTTTTTGGGGTGGTGGTGTTACATTTCCTTCCCTCCATGGAAATGCAGAATAAGTTTTTAATTTCTCAGTATTAAGCAGCTAAACTGTCTGCTTAAGCCACTTAATGATATTAGGTAATTGAGGGTGAATGGAAATTTAAAAGCAGCAAGCCAATGATTGCACTTGCTGGAACTGAGCCAAAAGAGAGTGGTCTTATCCACATCTTAAAAAGAGAAGCCCCTAAATAGGAGGCTAAAAGGTGCAAGTAGGAACATTCTGGAGACAAACTGATTCATGCTGGCATTTATAGCATGTTGTTCCTAGGAAAAGGAGTGAACCAGCGCATCCCCTAAATAGACCAAAGAGTGGGACAAATCCCAGTGTAACTACACCCTAAGTAAGTGTTTAAGTATTTATATGGTATATTTGGGGCTGTCAAACAGATCAAAGGTGACATTCACTGATCCAAGAATTCTGTTAGTTGACTGTTTAAAATAAATTCCATGGTTTATACACTAGTGATTATCCAGAGACTTCTAGCTACTGTCAGGTTTCATCTACACAAATGATTAAAAACAAAGCACTTACAGTTTAAAAAATATTTTTTACACTGGTTCCTAACTAAGAGCTAAACACATAGGGAGTTGCCTTATACAAGATCAGACTATATGAACACATGCACCCTCCAGTATAACCTATTACTCAGTCTGGTAAATCAGGTCTCCAAAGTCTCAGGCAGTAAGAGGCATTTCCCATTATCTGCCACATGACCCATGTAACTGGAGACGCCATTGACTGAACCTGGAATTTCTGCAAGCAAAGTATGCACTCTACTGCTGTGCAACAGTCTCCTTTGGAAACATCAAAATGCAGCAAGATCTGCCATTTGCAAATACAAGCTCCAGTTAAAATTCACATAGAATCACCATTTCAAATCTTGGTTTAGTCAGTGCAGTCCATTAATTTATTAAACATTATTTGTATAGAAATATAATTATTTATTATTAGGTCAAAATGCAAAATGTAGAATTTTAGTTAGGGATGGAGTAGGTGGGCAATAATCAGCTGTTCTGAAATCGTACATCTTAAACCAACA